CTACATAAACCTCAGTGCTGGGTATTCCTAGTGAGGAAGAGATCAAAGCCTCGTGCAGTAATACGGTCTTGGGCCTAATTTGCTGTAATTTAACCCTATAAATCACTGGCGAGTTCACCAAATACCTTAAATGCTTTTGCCGCTTAATCACTCCCTGATTTTTTGGGTAAGCGAGTACCAAGAAAAGCCGAATGGACTTTATCTCTGTTGTCATCAACTGAGCTTTTGGGGAAATTCCTCTTGTCCAAGTATGAACTGTGATGTGGCTTTATTATTAAAGAGATTTTCAGGAGGCGGGGGAGATAGGTGTGGCTTCCTGGGAGAAGGCCTTTCTGGAACTGCACTGAAAAAGCCACCCTGCCAAAAGGCAGCTGCCTCATGAGTCACACAGATCCTGCCCCCTGACCACACACTCAGCCCGAGCCGTCCTTGACTCTGAGGTTAAGGACTTGCGATAATCAACTGGCGTCACGTGAGCAAAAACTCATACAGATGTTAGGGCAGCAAGTCTTGTAATTAAGTTCCTTCTTCACAGCCTGTTCCATTAGAGTGGAATTTCCCAAACTTTTTGGATCATTAAATCACCTGGTGTTCTTGGTAAACATCCCGACTCCTTGGTTCCGTCTCACATGGACAGAATCGGAACATACCCCAGGGTAGGAACCTGGGATTTTGTTTATAACAAGTGCCCTACGTGATCTCAATATCATCAGGGAAATTTACGAAATTGTGTTAAAACAGTAATATTTATGTAATACACATAAGGAGATGGTGCTACAGTTCTAACGCCAACTCAAGGATAAGAAAAGGGGTTGGCAAACCATAGCCCGTGGACCACATCCAGCCCACTGCCTGTTTTCATAAATGAAGTTTTATTGGAACACAGCCATGTCCGTTTTTCAAAAAACATTGTCTCGGGCTGCTTCTGGGCTGTATTGCAGAGTCGGGTCTTTCGGGCAGAGACTGTATGACCCATAAGGCCAAAAATACTTGCTTTTTTCTTTATAATAAATAAGTTTACTGACCCCTGGATGAAAGACGTGACCTCAGACCTAGTTAAACTTGGAAGTAGAACGAAAGCTCTCCATGATTACAATCTTCAAAGAGATCTGCCTCTGTGCTAAAGGGCCAGGCAACACAAAAATGACCCGGAATCGTTGAAAGTAACGAGGTGGAAGCACATGCACAGCGCAGATGGCAACCCCGAGGAAAGTGAGCTTGCATTGTTCACAGCAGAGAAACTAGACTCTGAGACAAAACAGTTCTATGAGTGACAAAGAGGGTCCTTACTCAAGGATAAAGGAATAACTGATTTTCTATTGGATTAGACTTTTTCAAAAAATGCTATTCACAAACCACAGAATTGAATTGACTCCTCACCACTGAAATGCCATAGCCCCCGTTTAAGAAACGCTCGCTGCTCTGGAGCCCAGTCCCAGCTCCCCCGACAGCCCTGAATCAGTCCTTGGAGGCACTCTGTCACCACAGAAGAATATCTGTAACACCTCTACAATGCCAGGAAGTACGCGATCGCCACAGATTTTTATAATTAGTTCATAAAGACAATAAGGAACACTCCTGACCACCAGCACGAGAAGCCAACTTTTGTTTTGTCAAAGGTCTGAGAAGAAGTCACAAAGCTTAACTTACAGAGAGAACATTGAATGCATGAGAGGGTTGGGAACTCTGAATCTTTCATTAGGTAATAGAAAGAGATTTGGCACACACATTTCCTCAGTGTGAAAAACAGCTTTTCTTGAGTATAAAATCCTCCAGTCTAATCCTGCGTAAGCCAAGTCGTGGCAAAGACGTAGTAAGAACCTTCTATGAGGCGCCTCACACCAGGTGGGCGCTCACCCCTGAGTGCCCCTGAAGGGCTGTCCACTGTGTCCCTTCTCCAGCATGTTTATATAGTAAGTATCTTCCTCCAAAGCAATTAGAAAACCTCCGGGGACTCATCCGCAGAGGGTAACTGTTGCTTTGTTTTTGTCTGTTTTGCCAAGAAGCAAGGAAAACAACTGAGCTAAGAGGAATTCAGAAGCAAGGATCTGTGAAGGGCCGTTTCAGAATCCCAGGCAATAGCGCCGCCGCTCCTTTTCCCTACCTGCAAACACGACCTCACAGCTCCCGCGCCTCTCCACCAGCTACCTGACGCCCAGAGTAGTACAATTATAAAACCATTTATGTAGTCAGTTGTAAACCCTTGGAAGGAGGCCTCACTTTCAGTTTTTACCCATCATTGACCCTTCGGCCACTTGGCTCCATGTCCTAACAGTCATTGTTGAATGCAGCGTCCAAGCTAAATCCAGACTCTTCCTATTACTTTATTCATTGATTTAAGACATTGCTCACGCAGTATCTCACCTCGTTTTCACACCAACCCCCTGAAGGAAGTATTTGCGTTATCTTCACTTTACTGGTGAGGCTGTCAGAGAGGTTAAGTAACTTCCTCAAGGTTTCTCAGCGTGTGATTTGCAGAGCTGACATTCGAGTGCGGGCTTTTGGATCCAGAGTTTGGCTTCCTTAACCAGCATGGCACCCTGTATTGGCTTTTGTCAGAGTATGATGTAATTAGAATTTGATTGGCTCACGGGCATTTTTCAAACACATTAAGTTTTCTTTCCCATCTTACTCCAAGGTCAAGTACGCTATAATGTGTACGGTGCTCAGTGTGCCTATCTTGGAAGAGCAGATGGACCCCATGTGGTAATTTAAAGAAGTAAAAGTAGAAAAGGCTTCATGCGGGAGCCTTTGTTTTACAATGAAATTGTTTCTGCATTGAGCATTGCACTGCTTTCAATGGTACTTGCTGATTGGCACAACCATTGCCCTTTAAATTGACTCCCAAATCGTGACAATAATGACCAGGATTAGCCCATTTCAATGGGTTCACGCTTTTCCCCGGGCTCCTAAAGAGCCTTCTCTGATGATCCAGGCTTTCCTGGTAATGAGAAGTTAGCCACCAAGGCCGCTGTATCCCACGCTGTAAATACCAGTGCTCAGTTTGAAATGCAGGGACTCGAGGAAGAGGTAAAGAATATCTAGTTCCTAAATAGTCCACTCCAGAAAAACACGGAGTAAAAAGGGGAAAGACCCCTCCCCCCACCCCCGTGCTATTTCACTTCCTCTCTAGAGGAACCCTCACTCCTTGTTCATCCTTCCAAACGTTCAGAATAAACCAATTGTGAAGAAAGAATTTGACTATAATAAAATAGTCAACTCGCTGGTTATCATTAACGCTAACCTTTCTTTAGTTATTCAGAAAACCCTTCGGGTTTATCCTTATCAGTTGTCACAGCGCAGAAATGTGGGTTCCCTGATACACAGAAGCATGTGAGGCAGTTGTGGGGAACCCCTTTCAGCCCCCCCAGGAGGCTTTGGCCTTGCTCCGACCACAGCTGATAACCCTGCTACCCAGAATAGATGTGGATGCACCTAATCTCATGAACACAAGATGGTAGGAAATACTGTAAAAACATTGATTTGTCATTGAAAACATTTGGGGGATTACCTTATGTTATATAGCATTAGTATAGGGCTGTTTTTACTCTCTGAAATTGGTATAACTTTATATGTGTTTACATATACAGTACTTTATGTGTATATGTGATTTTTCAATATATAGATAAATTATGTGTATGTATATATGTGTATGTATATGTGTGTACATGTATGTGTATATATAGGTTCACATACATACACACGCACATACATACACAGATATATATATTTAAGCAAGAGTGGCTTCCATTTGTAAGTTCAGCCGGAAGTAGTCTTCTTTATTTTGGAAAAAAAAATCAATTGTAAGTAAGGTACCTCATGCTCTGAGAGAAGAAATAATAGGAAGGGCTATTTTTCTTGAGTTTGCTAAGGCCATCTGTCCGAATTCCCCTTAAGCGAGTAGGGCTCTGGGATGCATACAGAACCTAGAAACTTTCTGGAAGGGAAGGGACTGAGAAAACGCCAACCCCAACATTCCTCCCCAAGACTCCTGGTTATAAACAACCATGAGGGGCCCCTTCTGGAAGACAGCAGGACTCTGGAATCTAATCCAGGAAGGTAAAAGTGTGAAGGATGTTTCTCCAAATAGGATATACCAGTGGCCCACCGGCACGTGAAAAGATGCTCAGTGTCATAGCCATTAGGGAAATGCACATTAAAACCACAGCGAGACACACCGCTTTACACCCACGAGAATGGCTACACTAATAATTTTCAAAATGGAAAATAACGTTGGCTAAGATGTGGAGCAGTTAGCGCCTTCACGCATTGCTGGTGGGAATATAAAACAGTGCAGCCACTGTGACAGGCGATTGGTGGTTTCTCAATAAGTTAACCATGAAATAACCATAGGACCTGTCTCTCCCTCCCCAAAGCGCACAGCGCAGGGTGCAGTGGGCACTCAGGCAGCTGGAGTTACCCGGGAGTGGTAGAGACAGCCATTAGCTGGCATGAGTCTAGAACTCTGCTGTCCAGCATGCAGCCACCAGCTATGTAAGGATGCTGAACAGTTAAAATGTGTCTAGTCCCGGCTGAGATGTGCTGTCAGTGTAGAGTGCACACGAGACATTGAAGATGTAGTATGGAAAACAGGAAGTAAAATTATTCCATAAATAATGTTTTTATATTGATTCCATGTTGAAATGATATTCTGGATCTTGAGGGTTGAATAAAACATATTCTTAAAAAAGCAATCTCACCAGCTTATCTTGGCTTTTTAAAGTGAGACTTCAAGGACATTGTAAATTGTACACCTGGCTGCATTGTACTTGGATCGGACAGCACAGATCTAGAATGTTCTCAGCCTACCACCAATAGTGCCAGTCTTTGCACAGCCTCGTTTACGCTCAAATATTACGTGAGCTTTAGGAGTAGAGATCATTCGTTTAGAAATCAAAAGGATGTCACACTGGTTTATACAGGCTTTTCTGTGCAGGGTCTACAAGCTAATGTATGGGAGTGTGTGGAGAGGGAGCTAAAGCTTTGTGGGGACGTTCCAGGTTCGCTGCGACGCTGAGATTCAAGAACTGCGTCAGTGGCAGAAGAAACTGCGTGAGGAGCAGCACATTCGCCAGCGAGTCAGAATTTTCTGGGCCAAACAGGAGCAGAAAGGTCAGTTGTTTGATTTGATTGACGGAGCCTCAACTCCCAGATTCTGCCTCGATGTTTCCGGGACGGGCCCCGGACGTCCGCGTTAATGTTGTTTCCCTGGTTCTAACGATCAGCCAGAAGGGAGACCCTACGAGGTGCCGGATCCCCGGTTGTTTTGTGCTCTTTAAAATGTGGCGTCCCCTAGGCCTGTGCACCCCGATCTCTGGGCAAACAATGGAAGCCCCGCCCATGCGTGATCATACATTGATTATTTATTTGGCCGTTATGCGCCTTCGTCGCTAGCGTGTAAGCTCCTTGAGGACAGAGATCTTGTCCTAGTTCGGTGCCTGGTACAAAGTGAGCACCAAATAGATATTGGTTGAATGAATGAGTGAGTGAGTGAGTGAGTGAGTGAGTGAGTGAGTGAGTGAGTGAATAAATGAGTGAGTGAATGGCTAGGTTCTGAGGCTTACATGAGCCATACATGCCTGACGCAGAGCTGGCACTCACCACATTGGTGGCCTTAGGACCCCTTGTTTAGAAGCAGCTTGAGCTATAAACACTTGGCAGGCTCAGCCCAGGCCCTCTTCCCTGTGCGACTGCCAGTTCATTTCACTCCAAGATTGAGAGACAGTCCAGGCTGTTATCAGCTTAAAGGTCGGGGAAGTGCAGCGAGCCTGTGCATTTCTGTTGCCACGTATTCTTTGGGGTTGGTTTGCTGTTGGTTGGTGGATGCATGTGGCTCGCTCTGTGGCAGGGAGAGCAGATCGAGTTTACCACGTGTGGTCCAGCCCGCAGCCGAGGGGCAGTGAAAGCAGTCCCATCTCAGCCACCTGCCGCTTGCGTCCCCTGCCACCTTTCGAGGGCTCGGAAGGAGCTGTGCTTTCCAAACAAGATGGGGACTTCAGGAAATGCCCCGTGGGAACCCCTGGATAGATTTCCGTTTACAATGAGACTGTGAAATGGCCCTCGGGTAAAGTAGCCAGTTCTAACCACTGACCCCAGACCCGTGGTCTATTCAGAAGGAAGTCAGGGCAGCACGATGGATAAAGGACCAGGTTTTGGAATTGGCCGGACCGGTCGTGGAATCCTTTCACTGTTATCTGTGTGACCCTGGCCTAGAAAACTGCATTAAGGCCAGAGCAGGTTTGCACTTACACCAAATGAGACTATTAGCAGCACCTGTCTCATGTGGTTGTTAAAGGGTTACAAGAGATGATCTTTAGAAAAAGCCCTGGCACATCGTTCTTGTAAGTGTTGGTTAATGTCACAATCAATATTATTAAAATATCTGTGTGCTTGGAAGCAGTTTGAGGTTGCTTTCCTTCCCTAGACTCTAAGCTCCCTGGGGTTCCCTGTGGGGACCGTGCTTGTCTCATTCATCATGCTGCCCCCACGCCTGGCACAGAACCTGGCACAGAGCAGGAGTCTGTACGTATTTGGTGGATGGAGCCCTGGGATTCATTTTACAGATGAAGAAATCGAGGCCCAGGAGGGTCGAGGGACTTGCCCAAGGTCACACAGCCAGTGGAGGGCCTCAGGCTGGGCCAGGCGCTCCCTGTCTCTGTTCTGTGTTCTGCCACGTTCCCTGAGGTGAGATACAGAGACGAGATGCTCTTTTGGATTCTCCCATCGGACCCAACCCCGGAAAGCTCCTGAGCATGACACGTGGCTTGTCCGTGTCTCACGACCTCGGTTTCTGGTTCTTGCTGTGCGTGTTGACCGAAGCCCCTTGGCAGGGGCTGACTTTAGAGTTGCAGGGGACAACCTGCTGCCACCAAGTGAAGTAGGGCTTTGTCTTTCCTGGAAGCGTCACCGAGCTGAATGCACATTTGCTAAGCTCGTGCACTCCCCAGTTACTCTCTGTTTTAAACCATATGAATCTGGGTGGCGTGGAGGTTTAAGAAATAAATTCCCCAGCCAAGGTGACATCATAGTTAGACCCCAAAGACCTCTGATGAAGTAATTTGAAAAGGAATGGTAAACATATGCCAGTCCTTTTTTGGATTTGCAATAAAAAAAAAAGAAGCGCAGTGATTGCAAGTAACAGTGGTGTTTCAACTTCATCTAAAAAACCCATGAACTCATCTCTGTACAAATCCAGCACACAAACAGAATGTTTCTTGAGGGGATGCCATTTTATCCATACTGTGTGTCAGTATTTATAGTCTGAGCGATCTTTGCCAAGTTCACTTCTCGGAGCAACCTTGGTGCCGACAGGAGGTCTGAGGGAGAGTGGCGTCAGCTGTCAGGGTAGAATCGTGGTCATTTATAGCCCGCCTCATGTTACACTGAGTCAGAGACCGTCCCAAACAGGATTTCTTCTAGGACAGAAATGGTGTGAAGTTATCCTTGCGTCTCCATCCACTGGGACAGTTGCAAGAATTATTTTAAAATGTGTGTGACAAGAATTACAGCCAATAAAACCCGAAAGAAGATGCCTAAGACATTTTTGAGATGTGCTCAAGAATCCTTTCTTGATTAATAGCATATTTTTAGCTTCATATAGTCAGTAATTGCTTTCAAATGTGCTTTGTAATTGAATATCCATATTTTTATTTGGAAATCTAGTATGAGGAGGAAGAAAGAAGCCATAGAAATTGTTTCCATAACATCAGATTACGTTTCATGTGTGTGTGTGTGTGTAATCGGATTACATTTCTCGTGTGTGTGTGTGTGTGTGTGTGTGTGTGTATTTATAGGTGTGCAAATGCTCTTTCTTGTTGATATTTTAAAGAAAGGAGCGAAGGAGGTTGACCTGTCAAAGGAATTTGATTGTGTACTTCCGTTTGTTTACCTGTTTATTCCCTAGCTTGTTCCAAGAGCGGTTTGTAGTAGTAGCTATAGAAACTCATATAGCATTTTTAGGAAATGTGGTAATCGGGTTAAGGAGTAATTAAGAGGAGGGAAAAAAAAGAAAGCCTATAAAATGCAGTAAACAAAATACTCGCAGGCCTACACTTGCTAGAGGTTTCTTAGGGACAAAGCAAAGAAGGAAGTAGGGTCTGTTACATAATTCACAGTGTACATAAGAAACAAAGATACGCCAGTGTTTTGGAAACACTGGACCCTCCCCTAATCCATTACGCAATGTGAATAATAACCTCAGAAACGTTCCTGTAGTAAATAGACTATTGGCTCTGAGCTTCCTAGAAGCCAGAGCAATGAAAGACATGGGATCGTGACACTTTTTATTGTGTCCTCAAGATTTAAAAAAAGTTTCTCGAAATCACACGTATTCCTGGAGCTGAGATTTTTCTCATGAAAAGGACACTGTAACGTAGTGAACACTATTCTTTCCCTAAGTGTAATAACGAGTTTCTTACATTTGCTTCTGGAGGGAAAAGATGAAAGCTGGGGGTGGGGTGGGGGGAGGGGGAGGATAGAAACAAGAAAAATTTCTCAAGAGAAATTTCTTTTCCTGATTTTAAATCTAGAATTTTAAGTTTACATTGTGATGACACATCTTACCTATTAGGACTGGGTTTTCAGAATTATTTTAAACTAAGCACCTCGTTTTGGCCATACCACATGCTGTGACCTCGGGAGGCACCTGGAACTTTGCGCTTAAAGTGGAGAAGGGCGTCTGGGACTGAGGAGTAGCTGTAATTGATGGAGCATATACCATGGGCCAGACACTGTCCTAAGCACCGTATGTTTCCTTGTGGTCCTCACACCCGCTCTCTGAGAGATACGATATTATGTCCATTGTACAGATGAGGAAACTGAGGCTGGGACAACACATGACTCACACAAGGTCACACAGCCAGTAGGGCCAGAAACCAGAGATGTGAACTGATGCCAGGGAACCTCAGGCCATCTCATGCCACATCGTCCAGTTATTGTAACGCGTGTGCCCACTAGGGCATGTTGGCCCAGGGCAAAGCTCCCCAGCAGGGTACCAGGACCCCCAGGCTGGACAGTGGGCAGCGTCTGGCCATGCCTCCCACCCTGCACGCTAACGCCGAAATGACCACAGGCCCCTGGAATAGGGGAGGATTGGGGGACGGGGAGGCCGGGTCCCCTGTCCAACTGCTGCAGGGTCTCTAACCATGTTTCCACTGGAGCAGGAAGGCAGGCTCAACGGACAAGGATGAGGGTGTTCTTTTCCTCCCAGATCCCCTGCCTACCTGGAGACGAGAAGCGGGGAAGGGCTGCACCACCACGGAGGGGGCCCCCGCGTGTGGGGAGCCCTCTAGCCTGGGCTCAGGAGGTGGGTTCTGGCACTGGCTGTGACCCTTTGTGACTAGCAAACATAATCTATCATATAACAAAAAAGATCACATTTTAGTGACTTATTTTCCAGAGACAACTGCTGCTGAGTCAGCTCAGTTTCTTCATCCGTCTATCAATATGTAATATAAACATATACACACATATATTTATAAACATTATATATAGTGCACTGAAAGTTGCTTTTGGTTCACTTGGCAGTGTATCATTGACATCTTTTCATGTCAATATATATCGCTCTGTCTCATTATTTTTTGTGGTTCCATGAAAATGATAGATCACTATACTTTTTTTTTTTAACCATCCCTATGAATGGATATTTGGCTTGTATCATGAATAATGCTTCCCTAGACATTTTTGTAGATGTATCCTTGCTTACTTATACAAGTGTTTCTATAGGATAAATTCCTAGAAATGGAACTGCTGGGTCAAAGGGCGTGAACATATTAAGCTAGACGGTGACTGCCATATTGACGTCCCAAAGCATCAATTTATGCTTAATGCCATCAACCAACTTTGGAACTTTGGGTGGGTGATGTCATCTTTGTGCTCCATTTTCCCTGCTTGTAAAATGAGAATGATTATGTGACAGGAATAATTCTGAATGAGGTCATTGCTTTGACGAATATCATGGCTCTATAAGAAGAAATGTATCTGTAAATCTAAGGTGTCACTTTCATTTTAATTTTTTTCTCTCCTATCCCGTCAAACCTTAGTCCCTTCTCCATTTTAACCTGCAAAGGAAACTAAAATTTGATTAAAAGAAATTTGGTGACTTCATGCCTTGC